CCCCCCCCCCCGCCCCCTCTTTTTTCACTCCCTCACTCTCTCATATTGATTTGAGTCTCTTACACACTATCATATAAACCCTGTTTGTATGTTTATGTTAAAATCTGTTGTATTAGCAAAGTGATCCTATCTTCATCCATATTCACCCCCCACCACCCCCGATCCTATGCTTGTGCACTTAAGAAGCTAGGGATATCCCTTGCTGTTACATGGTGTGAGATCTTATTATTCACTGCGCTACCAAGATTGCCGTCTTGGAGTCTCAGCGAGCAAGTGAACAACCGCTGTCTACACTAATAATGTATTTTTTAAACTTTAAAAATTATATCAGGGCTTAAGCTTCAAACAATAAAACAATATTTTAAATGTTTTTAACTGCTATGACTGCCAATTAATGAATTTCCGGCAAAAATTTGATTTGATAACTTTTGATAAAACTGCAATTTCAATTTCAAGATTCTTAAACGCTGAATTTCACTGATATTTTAAATTGAAAAATGACTAAAGGTTATTTGAATCTTATTTTAAAAGCTCAAGTAATAACAGAATAGTTTCTGGGTTGAATTCTACAATTATGTATACTGGGTTTTCAAAATCACATCCTCACTACTTCACTGTAAAAAAAAAAAAAAATTACTATTACTAGTTAGTAGTAGTGTAATTTAATTTAATAATAACTAAATTAATTTAAAAATATTACAATCATACAATGTGACAAAGTATTGGGCTTGGCTTAGTAATTAAGGATTAATCAACAATTGAAACAATTCATATATTCTTTACTTTATGATTTATGATAATATATTAATATTTCCATATCCCATATGATAGGCGTAATATTTAATTTTTCATGTCTATCTTTTCCAGATTTAGACACAAATTTTATTCCTCAAGAACAAATAGATCAGTCATCTTCAGATCACAGTATTCAAGACAGCAAAATGGTAAGATAACCCTTCAACTTCATCCATTTGGTGAATCAGCCTCCAGTTTTCTAATTACAAACATTATTTATTAACAAATCGACTAGTAATGATTAAAAATAAAAATGTCTATTACTTTTAATTTTTATTCATTGAATCTTAATCACGTTTTGAGCAGAACTTTAAGAAAATAAAATAATAAAAAAAATATTATTATTAGTAAATAAATAACTATTAAAAATCAATTCATGTTAATTTTTTTTTTTTACAATTGACCTTTCACTCAGTAACTAATAGTTAAGCTAATTATGTTTTCCAGTCACTTGTTAAACAAGTGCCAGTCTATACATTAGTCTATCAATTAGCTTTTTTTTTTTTTTTTTTTAATCAATTTCAAAAAGGTTGACACAGCTGAAGCAGAACAGCTCCTGAGACAAGGTCTAGGGAAGCGAGCTTTAAGAGGAGATAGCAAAGTGAATGGGAGTTCTGCAGCCTCTGGAGATTCAGACATGTTAGCTGGTGGTATCCATGGGTATGAGCAGATTACTCAGAGTGCACTCTCACAGCGGGTAAAAAAATTTGTTACAACCACTGTCATGCCGGTTTTCCTGATTGCCTTTGTCCCAAACCTCATGGTTCTTATCTGGTACACAGTCATGCACTGCGAAGGAAGCTACCTTAAGATGATGTCAGTGTTTGCCAACCGGTCAATTTTGTCTGGATTATCTGACATGTGGAGCCTAATTAGATATCCATCTGCCCCGATCATCTGGACACTGGTTGTATACTGTCTTTACGCCTTGGCTATGATGAAAATCTTACCTGGACAGAAAGTTACAGGTCCACTGACCCCAAAGGGAAATGTACCAGTTTACAAAGACAATGGCTTTGCTTATTTTATTCTCACCCTTGGACTCTTCTGGGTCCTCACTGTGATTTTGCATCCATTTGGAATCTCCCCTTCAATGTTGTATGACAGATTTGATGAAGTAATTTTTGCACTCAATGCATTCAGCATTATTTTCTGCGCTTTTCTGTACATCAAAGGAAGGGTAGCACCTTCTTCAACCGACTCTGGCTCATCTGGGAACATCATCTTCGATTATTATTGGGGCATGGAGCTCTACCCCAGAGTTTTTGGTTTTGACATTAAAGTTTTCACAAACTGTAGGTTTGGCATGATGGTCTGGGCTCTGCTTGTCTGTGTCCACTCTGTGAAAAGCTATGAACTTTATGGATTCGTTGACTCCATGTTTGTTTCAGCAGTTCTGCAACTCCTCTACATCACAAAGTTCTTCTGGTGGGAGTCTGGATACCTGCGCACCATTGACATCATGCTTGATCGTGCAGGATTCTACATCTGCTGGGGTTGCCTTGTTTACATTCCTGGCCTCTATGCTTCGGTGACCTTTTACCTAGTCAGTCATCCCATCCACCTGGGACCAATGGTCACATGCTTGTTTTTATTCCTTGGCGCCATCAGCATCTATATTAACTACGCTGCTGATGTACAGAAACAGGACGTCCGAGGGGCTAATGGTGAATGCCTTATCTGGGGACGCAAACCTGACATCATTCGGGCCAAGTATCAACTTGAGAATGGAGATGTCAAAGAAAGCATCCTCCTGGCATCAGGCTGGTGGGGTCTGTCTCGACACTTTCACTACATCCCTGAAATCATGTTGGCATTTTTCTGGTCAGTTCCTGCACTCTTTGACAATATCATGCCATATTCTTATGTGATCTGGCTGATTATTCTGCTCACCCATCGCAGCTATCGGGATGACTCCAAATGTGGTAAAAAATATGGCTTATTCTGGCGTCAGTATTGCAAGAAGGTTCCACACAAAATTGTACCTTATTTATTTTAACAGGTGGTGCAATAATTTGTATTTATTCATTTTAATTTTACCATTTCAAGCACATTCTCTTCTTGTTTAGCGTTTTTTTTTTTTTAAATGAAGTTCCAACTAATGTTCCTGTTTATCTTTGTGTATATACTGAATTCTTCCATGTTCTCCAAAGATACTCATGCTCTGTGTAAAGTTTATCTTTTGCTAGTGTGGAACTTTAAAATTTTTTCCTATAAGCTTTTAATTTAATTAAAGTTAAAGGCCCCAGAGGTAACCTGCGGATCATGTGGGAGCACCCATGAATGAGTGTGAATCTAAATAACTATGAAGAGGGTAAACCAGGTTCGGTACATTTGGTCTAAGGAAGAGCTTTAGAACAAATTATTGCAATGTCATGCAATTACTCAATGTCTCAATGGCACATCAACTTTCCTTGATCTGTGGCTTAATGACAACAGGTCTCTTCCAGGAAGTAGCTTTGTTTATTGGCAGTGTAGGGAATGCTTGTCGTTAAGTGGTACGCATTTTCAATTTTCAGCTGTATTAAACTTGAGAAAATTGTACATTTTAACATTTATTATTGCGCCCATGGGAGGTAATAAACATTTTTCTTTTTTAAGAAGAATGCTTTTAAAATCATTGTCAGAGGTAAAGACGACCATTTTACAAATCTTACTACTATATTTTTAACCTTATAATCAATAGTGTGGACTATATTTTCTGTGTGCTGTCATTCAACAGCTCTTAACATTCTGTGTATAGATAAATGAGAGAGAAATTAAAGAAAGTTAATTAAATATTTATCTACAGTATATTTTCTATATTTGTATTTTAAAAATTCACTTTGTTTTTAGGCCTAGAAAAAAAACATCTAAGTGTTCATCTGTAAAGTGAAATTGGAATAGATTTTTGTTTAAACCACTTGTCAAGCAATGTATAAATAAACGTTGGTGTTAAATTAATTTGAAATGCAGGTGGCCAAATTTTTTTTTTTTTAAAGGGAAAACAAATTAAATGCAGTTATTGAAACTTATTGTTGTAATTATGCTTCTTCCACATCTGATGCATTGTTTTTGTGCCAAGCTGTTAACACGTATGTGGATGTTAATGTGTAGTGGTTGTAACCTAAATGTTAACATTTGAACTATCAAAGCACTTTATTCATGACTACTACAATTGGAAGTATGTGTTCTATAACCCTAAGGTTGAGGAGTTTATTATAAAATACTTTTTTAACATTTATGACCTTTTTTTAATGATGAATGATATTTATTGAGTTAAGGAGCATTTTAGAACATAGTATAAAGAACTATGGTACAGTAATTCTTTTACTGAAGAGTCATTTGGAGGAAGACTAATAAAAATACTTATTCCCTTAAAAATAAATTTTTATGATTTTGAAACAGAAGCAACAATGTTGGATTTTTTTTTTTTAAATTTAACAAATTCAGACTAAAATTATTTTTTTTCAAAGTATATGGTATAATGTTTAACAGGGAAATCTTAAATTTAACATGTGTATTTTGAGGTTACAGGAGAAAATTGCTATCAATTGAGAACTGGAACCAATGGTTATTGTCTTGTATTTGTAAATATATAGAAGAAGAAGAATTTTTGTTTGTCCTATTTAAGTACCTGTATGATCATCAATGTATGGAGATAGTACAATTGTACAAATGAATGCTAACTGCAGCTGAGATCAATGAAGAGATTGACAAATTTAGATGAATAAAGTGAATGACAGCTGTAGAGTGAGTTGTACCTTGACAGATGAAATAGTCCAATTCTACAAAAAGAATGCTAACTGTAATTGACTTCTGTAAGAAGTAAGTGGAAAAAAAACTAGTTGAAATTTCCTTGCATTGAATAACAGCTGCAGATGACATTTCAATGAAGAGATTGACAGATTTAGATGAAATTTCAATAAAGTGAATGACAGCAGTAGTAGAGTGGAGTTGTAGCTTGGAGATGAAACAAATATTTTTTACATTTTCCTTACAAAGTCATGATTGTGACTGGTCAGGTTCATTTCTTACAAATATCCATCAAATTTAAGGTAATGTGACATTAAAATAATCTGGAGGGATTTAACAAGAACATGTCGGTTTTTAAATGTAAAAAAATTATATCAACAATTGCAGTAAAATTGATTTTGTTCCTAGAGGTAAACAATTATATTTTTTTAATGAGAACGTTTAAAACGAACTATAAATCTTTGCAAATAGGGACTGAAATTGAAAAAAGAATGCTTGATGAACACCGTAGGGACAAATTTTAATGTTGATTTTTTACCGGTTTATCCCTGAAGCTTGTTAGTTCAAGCTAACACAAATTGATTTTCTTTTTAACAACCACCCTATAAAGGGAGCCAATAAAATATTCCTATCTTAGTTCCATATAATCTGGATCGGTTGCTAAGCAACATAGATTTCCCAACCTGTCAACACCCTGTTATTTGATTTTTATTTACAGCCATTCCTATATTTTTTTCCTCTCCCTTTTTAAAAAAAATTTTAATGATAAATTGTTTTGGGAATTCTTTTGAGAAGATTCTTTTTTTTAAATCTGCTGTTTGACATTTAATGAACACGTGACTTGGTAACGAGTTCCTCTTTCTTCAATTTATGGTTCTTAATTAGCTTTGTTAAATGTTGCTTAATTAAAGGATTTTTTTTTTAAGTTTGATGTTTAATGGGTTAATTTTTCCTCAAGGGGATCTAAACCTGAAATAGGAGTTGAATGGCTGTTCATGAACATCCCCCGAACTAGCTTGTCCCATTTCCTTTTAATTATTCTGGTCTTAAGCAAGGCATACAATTCTATCCGAGTACTGTGTAGCCAGTGTTTTCATTAGAGTACCTGTATATAGTGTGTTTTGCTTTCAGTCATGACATCTGACTTCCACCCCACAAATCTATACTGAGTAGGTCAAGGTGTGTGCACAGTGTTGTATAAGGCAGGAAGGCCTGCACTTTCCCACAGGTGTTGGGCACATTTCAACTGGTGACTAATCACCGCAGCTGAAAACTGTTGCCAGCAAAATCTGCTACTTCTGCTTGATTGATTGGTTTTCTGGTAATGTTAACATGAGGTAAACCACACACCCAGCCAGCACTTGGGTTAATGTGAGAAACTTCTCTGGGTAACTATATAGGAAAGAAACTTCATATTATGGCAACGCCCTGTGATCAATGCAATGTAATCAACTTGTGTTTTGTTTTTTAAATCAATCTTTAAAGTAAGCGTTATACTTTTGAATGATTATTTCCAGCATGGGGTTGTTAGAAAATGTGGTCAAGAAATGATGAAACAAATCTTCTTTTTTTTCACTCTGAAGCAGTATTTAACATTTATTCCAATAAAACTTATTTTCTTTTTATTGTGGGTTGAATTTCTGATGTTAGAATTTGTTGTTTTGTTGCGTTGTTTTTTTTTAGTACAATTAAAATTTTTGTTACCCTTTCATGTGTGATTCTTCATGAAGGTGTAGCCCTTGTACACCAGAGAGCTTTATTTAGAAGATGGGATACAGCGTATTGTCATGAAGAAACTTGTTCTATCTTTCATCGCTTCTTTTTTTAACAGATACTTTCTTATGAGTAACATTTGTTGAAGCCGATACAATCCTTAGACCAGTAACTTTTGAGATTTTTATTCCCGTTTTTTAATGATCACTATATAAACAGGTAATTAATTATCATTCTTGAACAGGTGTTGACTGTAATTATCACTCAAGAACAGGTGTTGCTGGAAATTATCACTCACTAAACAGATGTTTAAATATCCCCCAATGATAATGTCTTTGGTGATCGCACTAGGATAAAAGTTAAAATTATAAACACAATGTCCAGATTTGATTTTCTTGTAATAATTAGATTGAGTCCAAGTATGCTGGCAACTCTGCCGAACAATCCTATAATGTGTTTTACTTATCAAGGTATCTCGACATTTCATATTTTAAAAGCCTCCGTTTATGACCAAACCTGTGAAAACATGCCCTGAAGTTGGATATGGTACATGTGTAGTCAATGTTTTGCCATTATGAAATCATGTTCCCATCCTTTGATATCTCTGGGAATTTAAGTCTTTAAGTTGGTTTTTGGTAACTTATTTATTGATCTGTAATGGAATATTTTCTTGTATACTGCTGTCAGTATTACACAGGGGATTTCTTTTAATTGTCCTAATTTAAATATATATATATATATTTTTTTTTTTGTTGTTGCCTTTTTATTTTCGTAATTTTTTATCAATATTTTAATTGTATCAAAATAATGTACAGTGCATGCTCAGTCAATTTAAATAAGACAAAAAAAAAGAATCATTTGTTTGAAAGCTGATCTGTTTTGATCTTATTGATCAGTCATCTGTGAGTTTTGGTCTTTATCAGCCTTGTGTTTTTTTCATCACTTTTCATCAGCCTTGTGTTTTTTTCATCACTTTTCATCAGCCTTGTGTTTTTTTCATCACTTTTCATCAGCCTTGTGTTTTTTTCATCACTTTTCATCAGCCTTGTGTTTTTTTCATCACTTTTCATCAGCCTTGTGTGTTCATGAGTAATTTATGTGTTAGCCAGAATTTAGAGGGACATAGTAATACTAAAAGTCACTCTGAACCTATTAAGGAAACAAATAAATGACAAGTTATGTAAAACTTTAAAATAAGAGACAAGTCAATAAAGCTGTTGTCCTCAAAGCCTTCTAAAGCTAACATAAAGGAACAATTATAAATGACAGAAGAGACTTTTAAATACCGGTATTATGGAATAATTCAAAATAAAATTATCTGATCATCAAAACAAAACTAAGTATTCCTGGGTTGAAGACTTGACATTTACCACCAGCGTTGTTCTTAGACCTGGCAATTACCACCAACGTTGTTCGTAGACTTGACATTTACCACCAACGTTGTTCGTAGACTTGACATTTACCACCAACGTTGTTCTTAGACCTGGCATTACCACCAACGTTGTTCTTAGACTTGACATTTACCACCAACGTTGCTCTTAGACTTGACATTTACCCCCAACTTTGTTCTTAGACCTGGCATTTACCACCAACGTTGTTCGTAGACTTGACATTTACCACCAACGTTGTTCTTAGACTTGACATTTACCACCAACGTTGTTCTTAGACTTGACATTCACCACAAACGTTGTTCTTAGACTTGACATTCACCACAAACGTTGTTCTTAGACTTGACATTTACCACAAACGTTGTTCTTAGACTTGACATTCACCACAAACGTTGTTCTTAGACTTGACATTTACCACAAACGTTGTTCTTAGACTTGACATTCACCACCAACGTTGTTCTTAGACCTGACATTTACCACAAACGTTGTTCTTAGACTTGTCATTTACCACAAACGTTGTTCTTAGACTTGACATTTACCACAAACGTTGTTCTTAGACCTGGCATTTACCACAAACGTTGTTCTTAGACCTGGCATTTACCACCAACGTTGTTCTTAGACTTGACATTCACTACAAACGTTGTTCTTAGACTTGACATTCACCACAAACGTTGTTCTTAGACTTGACATTCACCACAAACGTTGTTCTTAGACTTGACATTTACCACCAACGTTCTTCTTAGACTTGACATTCACCACAAACGTTGTTCTTAGACTTGACATTCACCACCAACGTTGGTCTTAGACTTGACATTTACCACCAACGTTGTTCTTAGACTTCACATTTACCACCAACGACCACCAACGTTGCTCTTAGACTTGACATTTACCACCAACGTTGCTCTTAGACTTGACATTTACCACCAACGTTGCTCTTAGACTTGACATTTACCACCAACGTTGCTCTTAGACTTGACATTTACCACCAACGTTGCTCTTAGACTTGACATTTACCACCAACGTTGTTCTTAGACATGACGATCTATCCCAGGGCTTCTAGTTCCAGTGCACTACCACCAAGGCGGTTTTCTTTTGCATCAGGAAGGTGCCCCGCCCCCCACAGTGGCCGATTTAAAGCGTGCATATTTCAATCAAATATAACTGTAGTCTTGGGATCTAATAATACAAGGGGAGGGTTTCATGAAATTTGAATAAAAATCATATTTTCCTTTCAACATGGGGTCTTAATTTATGGGGAAACACTATTAGAAATGAATGATTTGAAGATTTTTAAGAGGTCCAAATGTTTCACCTTCATAGAAATAAACGTACCGGTATAAAAAAAAAAAAAAGTAATGGATGGAATAACTTAATTTGTAGGGGACGTACTGTCACACACACCGTCATTAAATCCTGGCATTGTTTTGTTATATCCTTCCAAACAGTCAGGCCACTTCTAGATCTAGCATTGATACTGATGGCTATGTTTACCGAAGTTCTGTCCCTGGGGCTCAATTTAACGGTTAAGTAAACCCATTCGAACAACGTCAATAATTCAGCCTTTCACGTAGTACTCAGTCTGATTATTTGTTGATTATCATTCACTGAAAGCATTGCAGCTTACATGAGACCGGGTTGGAAACACAGAGTTGCCGCACAGATAGCTAGAAATCAATCCTTATATTAACTATATATATATATTATATCTCAAAGCTCTGACAACAGTGGCGTCACTGAGGTTTGTGTCAGCCAGTGCGGTAATCTCACGGTTCCACCACCCGATGGTCCTCCTCCGAGAAGTCTGCTTGCCCAAATAACCTGCTTTGTCTGGTAGCCAGAGCAGTCTCCAGGGCCCCTGCAACCACGAATTACACAGATCCTGGTATATCTCTAAGTCTAAGTATCACGGTTGTGATTGGAAAATAGTAAAACCATCAGCTCTGAATTAAGGCAGGGGGCACAAAACTGAAAGGCGGCAGGGGACCTCCAAAAGTCATGCGACGGCACTGCTGGTAACGCCATGTTCTGGTGGCAACATGATTTTGTAATGTACCGGTATTTGGTATGACCTACAATCGGTTATAGTTATAATATAAATATAAAACAGTCTTGAGCGAAATCTGCACGTTTCCATTTTAGTGTCAACGCCCCCAACGCCCTCCCCCCCCCCAATAGGGTGTCACCCTGATGTGGTCCGAATCTCTCGCAACCACAATCAACGCTACTGACTGACCATGTATACCGGGATTGACCATGTATACCGGGATTTCCATGTATACCGGGGTATGTATAAATAGAGACAAATGAAGCCATTAAAATTAGAAACCACGCTTTTGAAAAAGTAATTCACTTCAAAAACATTGGATCTTTATTATTATATTAAAGAAACGAATAACTAAATAAAAGTAAAAGAAATAAAAGAAAGATAAAGAATATCAATCGGAAAATGGGGACACTTCAGTAGTCAGAGAATACTCAAAAGTAAAAACTTTACAAGAGAAACAAAGAAAACTATTTTTAAAACTGTCATCAGATATGGTTACCGGACGTCCGTATTTTTAGTACGGACATTTTGTATTTTCGACACCCTAAAATATTCACAATAGTTTGTAAAAAATGATGTACACCTCCCCCACCCCGTCTCTTCCCACCCCGCCGCTGCTCTGCCTCCGGTTGCACTGAGAGCCTTTGTGTCCTTACTTGGCATCCAGAAAATCTGGTTAGCTTAAATCAGACTAGGTGGACCAACAAAGGATGAATATAGATGGAGAATACGAACCAACCATGAATTGTACAGTCTATATCAGGAGCCAACACTAATAGTACCGCCAGCAGAAAGAAAAAAAGGGCAGGCTACGCTGGGCAGAACACTAAGTAAGAGAGAATGCAAAATATCAGAGGAGGAAAAAAGGTGCATCAACAAAACCCCAGAGGAAAACGCGGCTCAAAGGCAGACCTAGGCTTAGATCAGGGGTCTCAATCTCGCGGCCCACGGGTCATTTGCGGCCCGCTACATGCCAGCAAAGTTTAGTGTTAATGCGCCCCCTCCCCCCCCTCCCCCGTTTTCCTCATTCTCATATCTATAATGTGATCCTCCGCGACGGTTTCAGTCTTTTTATTTTATTGCATGTTATGAGACAAACATGGCGGCCAAAGTGCGTTTTTGATTAAAGTTTAAAAAGTCAGTGGGTAATGCACAAACATAATTGCAAAATGTGTAAATTGCAGCAATCTGACTGAGTATCAAAGAATCCCCATTAAAAGTGCTGCTAGTGTGTACTAGTGAGGGAAATTCCGAGCCTGTAAGCTTGGTCACTTTCAAAAGGGTTAGTCAAAAGGGCCTTTGCTACCAAAAAAAATATAATTTTTTTACTAAAATCATTTTATCCTACCATAGCATCTTATATCGCATCATAATTCATAAGTATTGTCTGCTCCTGCCTACTGTTTGAACTCGTTTTGGCATTAAAAGCCTTCACAGAGAAGGATGGTGTGATAGTTCCTGTACAAATTGTTATCCCAAATGGCTCATGGACTTGGCTTTTCTTGTTGACATTACACAGGAGCTGAATGTACTTCAAGAAGTTACAAGACCAGGGGTAGGTTGCCAGTGTTGCCTAAGACAAGGTCAGGACATTCTGCACAAAACTTGTGTTATGGTACCTCTGCCATTTCTTACTCATGGACAGGGGCACACAATTCAGTAATAAGCCACAGGAAGAATTTGATCACATGTTTTTAGACTTAAAAATACGCATAGCAACTTTTTGGTGACCCTTTTTCCTTTAATGTGGAAGATGCCCCCCCCCCCACCTCCTTTTTTAAAAGGCTTTAAACGGAGCTGATTGATCGTCAGTGCAATTCTAAGTTCAGGGAGGTGAATGGAAAAACAGACAAGCATGGACTATTGATGAGAGCATTGTCCTCCACCTTCCCTGAGATTTCCAGGTTGTTCAAGCGGATCATGTGCCTTTTTGGGGGGGAGTACCTATCTGTGTGAAAAGCTCTTTTCCACAATGAACTTTAAAAAGTCAAAGTTCAGGGACAAACTTACTGATGAGAATCTTCAAGCTGTACTGAGGATCTCAATTGGTTCTTCACTCAAGCCAAATGTTGCTCAGCTGTTTAAGAAGAAGTACTGCCAGATCTCTTGCAACAAGGAGTAGGAGGAAGAAAGTGTAGCCTAGTTCTTGAGAACCCTTAATGATTTTATTTGTTATTAATAAAGAAGGAGCACATTGCAACAGTTGTACTTTATTGAATTGGCAATCACATTTTTGTGGAATACTTGATACGGCCCAGTCGCACTCAGACTCTACCTGTTGCGGCCCGCGGATGATTTGAGTTTGAGACCCCCTGGCTTAGATGGATGAAAAGCATTTAGTTAGGTCTGAGTGAAAGGAAGTGGTGAGGCGATGGACTGTACGCAACAGGGATGGGTGGATGGATAAATACATTGAACATATGTAAAAGTACAACAGCACCAAAAATGTATGCAAATTACAAAACCAATATAATTGTTCCACGAGCGAATGAAGACTGTGGCTTTGGAAAGGGGGGGGGATAAAAATATAAATCTTATGCATTTTCTACCACAATAAAATTACCTCGCGTTGTGAGCACACACACAGTGGGACCAACACACCACGACATTAAAAAAAATTGTTCCATATAGACAATATAGTATAGTATGCGGTGGTGGACGGAATGTCCAACGGCACAGTGCCAAAAAAAAAAAAATGTAAATGGAGATTTACTCGAGTTTAAAAAGATACCGGGTATTGAAATGTAGAAGCGACCCGAAAAAATACCACCGGTTTTGGCTGCCCCACAAGGATTTTTCCAGGTGGCCCAGTCCACGCCTGATCTCATTACTATTACTAGTATTACTAATAATAGTAATAATAATACAAATACAAGGTACCGGTACATAGGACTAGTTACAAGGTACTCCAAAACGCTGAGAAGCAGTGTTTTTTTTTTTACATTTTACACAACTTCCATTAACATATCTTGTTATATATATGAATATAGATATACCTTTAATTTCATGTCATTGTTATATATATGAATATAGATATACTTTTAATTTCATGTCATGTCCACACCAGCAGTATTTAAATAAATTGGAATTTGAAGAGAAAAAAAAAGTCAAAATGTTACAACTTGTAAATTGTGTGCATTCTATATTCTACAGTTGGTGAACTGTATGATGCTTACAAAAAAATTCCTGGCTAGTGGAAAAGGAGGAAGACAGCTTTGCCCCATCTAATTATAGTACGGTATAGACAACAAACTGTTGCTTCAGTTTTACACATTAAGAAGCCAATGACAAATCATGGGAGCAGGTACTTACTGTTGTTAAAGCTAGATTTAGAATTAGATGCGTGAATGTTTGGTATGGGAACAGTGTTTTGTGAGTTGTAGGTCGTGCAGTTGGTTCATGGTGTTCAGCTTTATGGTATGGAGAGTTCTTCTTCTTCTTATATTTGAGGTGCCCACGATCAATTTGTTGATCATTCTGGCTCCTGGTTTAAATTCAGAGTTTGCCTTCTCTTAGATTTTGTTGTGTAGGGATATAAAAGGCAGTGAAAATTTTTGAAGATCATAATACTTACTTCTTATTGACAGTTACTGCAAACTATTTAATTTTATTTTAAATAAATAGTATCCTTGTTCAAAACTCAATTTTTGTTCATGCATTTCCTTTTTAATTCCTATTTTAGCTGGAATCCTGGTTCGCTCAAATCAAAGAAGGATTTAAGGTCCTACCCATGGTTGAAAAAGTTCTGAGGAAATTGAATGCCCACAAAGATTTGAACATGACAGTTTTCCTGAGCCAAACTTTAGGTATGGATTTCATGAGTTCCGCTCTATGATAGAGTCTATATTCTTTTGGAGTAACAAAGAGAGCAATCAACTTTCCACCTGAAGTGTCAACAGTACAGTCAGAGGGAGTACTAAATGTCTTTGTTATTGATATTTATAACAAATGTTTTTTTAAAATCTACAAAGAGATCACTGAATTACTTTTTGAATGGTGGCATTTACATTATTTTTCTACAGAATCTAATTACTAAATCTAATAACTTAAAATTAAGTGGCGATATTATTTATCTAATTTACTCAAAATGCATTTTCAGAATGGAACTAATAGTTATATGTAAATTGATTTTTTTAAAGTGACGTTTACTAATACCCACCCAGTCTGTATTTACAAATTTGCAATTTTCTTTTTTTTTTACTTTTGTTTTGAAGATTTTTTTTTTCCGCAGAGTGTATTTCCTAATGTTAAATCAAAGAGTTGTTAAATATATATTATTTATCATGTTTTATGGGTTGTGCCCTTTGGAGTTCAAGTCAAGTTTCAAAGAAACAATTTACAAAATACCTGTAACAACATTTTTGTTCTCTACTTTGGTCAAATGTTTATATATTATTGTATGGTATTTTATGGTGTCAGTGACAAAGTGTCAGGTATGCTTATTTTATATGAAGACTACTGAGTATTATCTTCACTTCCTAAGTGATTTCAAACATATAGGATATTATTTTTTGTATACCGGTATTTTGAAAAATGTATAAAAGTGTGAAATAAATTACCACCCCTAGACTATTTTGCCATTTGTCTAAAGTATTGGTCTAAAGTACTTCTTGTTTGTATACTTGTAAAGATCTTCGATTCTCTTTTAAATTGATATATGAATCATGTTTATTAGATAATTTTTGGTGAATTTTTAAAAATAGGTAATTTTTGTGATTTTTTGCCTCCCTTGGCAAATTTGAAAATTTGACAAAATCAAATGCCATCTTTACAACAATAAATTACATACCGGTTTCCCATATTGATACTCTTGTAAAAATTTTGTTTGTTCTTTGTATATTATTGTGTGATTATTGTAAAGGAAATGAATGCGGGTGACATACATCTGAAGATAATGACTCATGAATATGGGTCTTTGTCGTTTCATCAAAGTTAATACAAATACAAGTAAAAGATAACCCAAGAAAAACAATTTAAAATAGCATAACTTTCTTAATAATGGTCATAAATTTAATATTTAATGCACACATTCTTAGATCTTGCATCTTAAACACTCAAAAATGTTATTGGTTTAGTTTGAAAACTTTAAAAGTACTTGTTTAAGTTATAAGACTTACAATGTATGTAAAAAAGATAGCACTATTTTCAGTCACAAACTGTCTTGTTAAATAAGTATAAAGAAGCATGAAAGTAATTTGATGCCAAGGGCAACTAAATCATTAGAATTAAACTTTTAAAGGGGACCCGAGGCCATAAATAGCCTATGTGACAATAATTATTATAAGCATAATGGAAGTCTTAAGTGAGTTGTCTTTAGTTATGAGTAAAGGTGATGCACATGTGTTTTCTTCCGTCCACACATTGTCTTCTTAATTAATACCAGTACCAGTATTCTCATTGAAACTTCGGGCTTAAATCACAAAAGGGTATCAGGGAATAATAGTTTTATTAATATTTTTATGGATGCTGACCTCAATGTTGTAGAAAGTGAGACTACACCAATGTCATGGTCATAGGATTGCTTTCGGGCACGATTCCAGTAACGGTACAAGATGTTAATCGAGATGAAAAAGGAACTAACTGAAAGCTGAAACTGACAGTACCATAGGACTCAAAGTCAAAACCAGACAGATGAAGTGATCAAGAGAGAGAAGTAAGATTGAACACTATCTATCATCATCGTGAATATCAATTCTATCAGCCCTATTGAAGTACGGTATGAAAATGTGCCGGAGTTTCAGAACCCATGGAGAATGATGGCAAAATTATGACAAGAAAATCAATGGCATCATTTACATTAGTACTAATAGTACCCGGTAAACAAGTCGTGTATGGAAAGTTATTTGGAATCCTAAGTAGATCGACCAGCAACAATGAAATCCAGTTGAAAAAGTCTAAATCATGTTACAATGTTAGTTAGAATCTATTTGCCACACTCATTTCTAGTTATTTGAGTTTCTCCTAATGAATTGATCAGTATCTCGGTTTTCAGAATTTATGATTATGCAATGTAATGTTTGTAGAAATTATTTTTCTAATTCTGCCTTTCTTTGTCTTAGAATTTTAACTTTCTTGTAGTTCTACCCCCCTTTGGTGGATGTGTTATCTTTTATTCTGGTTTCACTGGTTTGAATTTTCATTTTCAATCCTTAAAATCTTTTGATAGTAATAGATCGGACGTTGAGTTGTCTCCATAGTTAAATCCAGACTATAAATGCCCGTACACAGTTTCTTTTTCACCTTACAACTTATATTACCGGTACTCAGTACATGTGCCTGGAGTACTGACTGATCTAGAAAAGAAAGTAGAGATGTAGTTCTTTAAAATATATAAATTTGGAGTCCTTGTCAAAGTAAAACAAATGCTAAAGAAACAATTATTTTAACTTACGGTACAAAATCATTTTACAGCTAACAAACTGTGCTATTTTTACGGTACAAAATCATTTTACAGCTAACTAACTGTGCTATCTAAAATAAATAATCTGAAAGGCCATCCAATGTGCTATTAAAAAAAGCTGCTGTAATTAACACTATGGTATCCATATGCAAAATGACAAAGATTTCTGCTTTAAAAAAGCAGGTAGGATGTCGCTAAGTTACTAATATTGTACCAATACTTGCACAGTAAAGCTCAACACAGGATTTAGTCTAACAGTAACAGACTGAATAAACAATTGTGTAACTACCATTACCATGGATTTAAAATGCATCTAAATACAAGTTAAATGCTTTAATTATCAGATTTTCTTCACCAGAGTATTGAAATAATCTGTTTCTACGATTTCTATTCAATCACTCAGAAAATTTTACCCTCTGAAATACGAAAGGGAACCAACTCCATATGTACAGCTGAAGAAGCAAAACTTATAAAAAAAATTTTTTTAAATCCATTTTTTCAAATGTCACCAAATTTTAATTACCGGTTCCGTAATGTTATAAATATATAAGTTAACTATTATTATATCCTTGGAAGTGTATAATTATTGTCACCAAATTTTAATTACCGGTTCCGTAATGTTATAAATATATAAGTTAACTATTATTATATCCTTGGAAGTGTATAATTATAGTTTTGAATTGAAAATGAACACTTTGCACAAATTTTAATTATATGAATTTGTTAAAATCATGGAAAAATGATGTAAATTTAGCCGTTTTAATTTTAAAATAAGACCCCCCTAATAATTTATTTACATCTCCCACTTTCTCTTACTCAAATTTTAATATTCAGATTCTGTTTAATAAAATCATAAGTTACATACGGTACAAGTCAAGATGTAAAAATATGGATTACAAAACAAATGGTGGGCTTGCTGCTACAGAAAGTCTGCATATAAAATAAAGGAATAACATTGCAATTACTGGTACAGCACAGAGAAAATATGCAAGAACACAGTTTAACAGTTGCAGAAGCTAGTTTATTATTACAATCAATTGTTTAAATCATCTGCTTGACAAGAGCATCGATCTTGGAGTCCCTGAAACCATAGTCACCACCATCATTGAAGTGGTTGTACTTGCGGCGCCATCCACCCAGGGGAGATGACAGTTTAAATGGCCACAGGAAGTTTGAGGCATACTTGAAATTTGGACCAACAGTCAAGATCTCATGAATCAAATCTTCAATACAGATGATGTTCTTGACACCTGTAACACATAAAAATATAACATAAGGCACTAATCTGGTAAAGAACATTACATTTTCTACATACCTGTATACAATTTTTGGCATGTATATTATGTCCTCATCATAACAACAGAATACCATAAAGACTAAGGTTTGAAGAGTAATGGAATTTTAATAAAGCAAGGTTAACAAATGAAATAAATATGAAGACTTAGAAGAAATTAGAAATTGGCATTTCAGACCTAAATAGATATAACAAACTTTTATTTCATACCCAGTTCCTTTTCAATGATGGCATTGTCAGTCAAAGGGATCCTTTGATGGTTGACTTTACCATAGCCTCTCTTGTAGATAAGCTCCCTTACAGTCTTCAAATTGGGAACACTGTAAAAATAAGCATTGAGGTCATGCTAATTTCATACCAATGTATCAAGAGTTGCTGGCATTAGGGGTCATACATTAATTATGTCAACAAAATGGGGGGATGGGGATGGATGATATGTTTGACAGTTGTTGACAAGGGGGAGGGAGGGGGGTTTAGATTAGTTGATGTCAACAATAATGTGTTCTTCATTAAATTAAAATTGACTGGTTATTACATTATTTTTAAAAATTTAATGAGTGTAAATAGTCATATAATTTTTAGGTTTCATTTGCAGTCAAGATAAATGATATTGTTAGAGTAAGAATACAATATTTTTTTAGAACTTGAGGAAAGTAAAGTGATTAACAATAATAGCATCACTGCTTGAACGGATTTGCAAAATCTGTAACATCTATGTTGCATCACAAGCCATGTTGAAAAAAATCATGTTCAACAGCACCGACAATGCCCTCTTCACCAGAAATTACCACCTGCTAGTCAACAAAAAAAAGGATTCGACCAATGGGAGTAGCTGCCAGGAGACAGAGAGAGCTTATGGCAATTATTGCTCACATCGACAATGCTAAGGTTGCCAGGTGTCCACTATTTGAGCGGACAGTCCATTTTTTTTCACATTATGTTCACTAATTTTTTTTCCACAAAATAGTGGATTTTTTTTTTATTCAAAAGCTTTATGATGAAATGATACGTAATCTAAAGCTGTCAATTTTGTCTTTTTTTCATAAGTTAGAACGAGACAAAGATCAAGTATACATTGAACTCGATCCTCAGAAAAAATTATTAATTATACTATGATACTCAATTGTTTACAAGACATTTAATAAAAGTATATAAAATTATTTACATACTATTCTTCTTAATTCGCATTTACCTAATATTTCTATATTATCCTTTTTCTTAGTTGGATAGGTATGTTTTGGAACACTCAATAACGTAACATCATTTGAGGTTCAATGAGTACTAGCCTCAATATGTAAAGCGGGAATTTGTCAAACCAAAGATTTTGTTGAAGCATTATAAACATTAAAGTTATCATCCTGTTAAAACGTTTTAAAGAAAATATATTATTTAATTGTAAATTTTTTTTTTACTACTCCATGGCAAGATGATGGCAGCTAGAAACTATATTACAATTGTCAGCTTTACTGACAATAATCATATTTATACTTCCACAAACAATGATATTTAGTCTTTAACAACATTTTCATTGATTCTTAGGTGTAAAACTTGTTGATTAGCCCTCTAAACATGTACATTAATGAAATATTTTTCCTACAATTTAGTGTCATTAAAATAGATCGGCACAAAGTAAAATGTATTAATAAATTTATTTTTATTATAATTGGGGGGAGGAGGGGGGGGGAGGAGGAGGAGGACTAGAAATCTTGACATAAATAGGGGGGGTCACTGAAAGTTTTACAGTTTTTGATGGGGGGTGGGGTAAAAAAATTGCATTAAAATTTTTAACGTAACTAATGGATGACAGCTTAGCAGGGAAATTTTCAAACATATTCAGTGATATGGATAAACCATAAACCTTTCAATAAATTGCTTTTTGTACAAGTCTATTGGTGGTTGTTATTTATAAAAACAGTTGTAAGAGCAAATAGAACATCATCTACACAAAGTATTAAATATGCAATGGAATTTTAAATTCATAGAAAAATTACTGTAACCACCATGATAACAACCAAAATGCATAGACATATAGGTTGGAATAGTGATGGTAGATTACTATAGCAAGGTGAAAAATTGAACCAAATCAGGTGACGATTTAGCACAGAGTGTTACTTGCAAGGAACATTCATAAAATATACAAATAAAGTAAGGCATAAATTTTTTAACTAACGGGAGTTAAAAAAAAAAAAATGTGACAGGCTTTTGGACAATATATTCAGATAAAGACAAATAAAAGACTATATCCGAATAGCTATACCCCGTTTAATAATCATCCCACAAGATTTTTTAAGTTTTTAGGACCAGGGGCATTCCAGACAATCTTTTCAGATAACAAAAAGTAGTTAGTGAAAAGAAAACAAAATATACTGACTGTATAGCAAATCTTTTTTCGCCATATTTACAGCAACACATAAATCAGTTTATTTATATAGATTTAGTGACCATCCAAAATTTATTGGGAATATTAAGCTTTCCTCAAAAATTATATACAAGAAGATCCAAGTGTTAAATATTTTTGGAACTTTCATGTCTTTCATCAAAAAGGCCCTGTAAAAAAAAGTAGAAATTATTTAATAACTACTTACCCCCATGCAACGTATGGCTCAGCGATCTTCAGCATATTGAGTGTTGCTTTATTAAGTCTCACAAAGACACCATTGTTTATCTGTCTCAGCCTGAACAGCTGCAACACTTTTCTTGGGCGTGGGTGAATACCATTGATACTATGAAACAAAAGACAAAATTTGTAAATTTTAATTGAGGTATGCAAAGACGTCCAATAATTAGTACAGCACAAAATTTAACTCGCCTGACTGATCAAAAAATAAAATATGATTAACTCTTTGACAAAGCGGACACTGAAATTATACAGATAATGATACAGTTTGCGTTTATGCGTCAGTTCACACTTGCAACCTTATTTTTTCAGTATGGCCACTAGGTACATACGGCTAATTCAGACATTGTACTTTAAACAAAATTTTTGCAGATTGCCAAGACAACAAAATGTTAAATATTTCGATGTGTATAGTCTACCTCAATCAGATTAACACCACCCCCCACCATTAAAAAATAGAAAATGATAAAACAATAGCTTGCATTAAGTAATCACTAACATAAAAATTGAACCTTTTTTAAAACCACGCTGAAGACGGAAGTTGACCTGGGAGGAACCACCATGACCATATAAAGCGGAACACATCCTCGGCTTTATCGCTAACCCAAAATCAGCTAAAACCATTATATCATTACCCTCTGATCCTAATAACAAAAGCTAGTCTTGGCTCAGCAGGCACATAGAAGTTTCCAACTTTCCTTGCCAAACGTGCAAGTCTGACTTCATCACGTTCTTTGGCTCTGTACTCCTTCACATACTTTTCAGCCCGCTTGAAAATAACCTTCTTCTTTGCAATTTGTTTCTGTAAATAAATCAAAACGAAATGTTCAAATTTTAGGAAATGTAGGCCTACTTTTACATTTAAAAAATGGCAGGTGATGGGTAATATCCTAGGCATAATTTGCTATGCCAATGCTTTTGTCACACATATTAACTCATTCCCGACAGTTGCGACTAAATGCGTCCTCGGGGTGTTTCTCCTGATGCGACCAAATGCGCACACCTCTCTTATTTTTAGTTAAAAATAGCAATGAAATCTCGCGTCCCTCGAGACTTCCGGCTATGGCGTGATTTCTGTGTGATTTTAATTTAGAAACCCGAAGTTTTTATCTTGTTTCACTTTAAAACTATGTGTGCTTTTGTACGGCGCGTCTATATGTAGCATGTGTTCGTCCGAGGTGCCGAAAATCGATTTTTTTGGCCATTGTTCGTTATTTTTCCCCCGCTAATGTTATATTTATATTAAACCTTATTCATTTCTTGTTGCATTTGTTCTTAATTCATTAACATTAAATAATATTAAACTTAAAAAAATATTTTAAAAATATAAATCAATTTCAAAACTGAGTTGCTTCCCTTTTCTCAGGAAAATAAATTAAGTCTGGAAGCAGCGCTGCCGGAGGGAATGAGTTAAGGGATGAACCATTGAATGTAACATTAGCTATGACAAAAAAATAATCGGTTTATGGCTAGCTCTGGTCTTTAGTAGTTTTGAGCTATGAGCTATGTTTTGTTTTATAAATGAAATGTGAGTTCGTTTGTCCCTATTAATATTATGGTATATAACATTTTATATTGATAACTATGAAAACCAGTATTATATACTGAACCACCTCATTTTGTGAACAATTGCTTTACATAATACTGCATTTAGTTTTACAAACATTGTGTCTTTAATTCTTGGCAATTTGAATTGAAATTCAAAGTGAATATTGAACTAACTCGATCATTCAATGGTCTTCAGTTTAGTAGTTAGTCTTTTTTTTTAAAACTACATATTACATGCAGATGTATCATGATTTTACTATTTTATTGCCAAAAACAAAACTTGGTGCCAAGTGCAAAATTGAGCATAGCGACTTTATTGTTGGCTGTCACTCAGATATTGAATATGCGAGAACACCAAAGGTGAAGAGAGAGGAGAACAACATGCAGTGTCAGCTTTGTTTTTGTTATTAATACTGTTACTGTCAGACCTGTTTACTCTTACGATTTTGGCATACACTGTACGATTTTGAGGTGTATACATCATATATACTGTATAGTTATTTTTTTACTATTAAGATAATGTATTGAACGATTATGGGATGATATTGTACGATTTTAAGTGTTTGAGGGTAAACAGGTCTCTACTGTGCATCGCAATTACTAATTACAGACATTTATCCTATATTTTGAAAGATTTAGAATCTGGTGACAACTGCATATTGTCTGCACCGCAAGAGTGTGGAATCAGGAAGTGATACACATTGGCACAATAACCAATTAAGCTCTGAGAAGGGACTCATGGGGGTGCCATGCGTTCACTTTGTAAAACAATTGAGATTGAATCTATTATTATTATGATGCATCATTAATCAAAATATAATAATACTACAATTGGGCTTAGCTGTATCATTGCCTACTAAAACAACAAGCCAAAATGTCAAATCAGCTTCAAAATTATGCAGTGAGACAATTACTCTGTACCTCTAACTTCATTTCACTTTCTATTGATCATGGGATATTGCCACAATAGAACACTAATAAAGCAAAATTTCATAAAATCAAGCTAATGCCATGGGACATAAATATAATGAACATGTCAGTCACTCACTGTAGTGATTGGCTTGATAAAGCACAATCACATACAAACAAAATTCCTTTTTCCTCATTACAAAAAAAAAAACATCCTAAATTAAATAGAGAAATATGACTTTACCTTTTTATTAGCAACTTCAGCCTTGGCAGCTCTTACTTTACTCTGTGCAATTTGCTTTCTTCTCTTGAGGATAGACTCGGGCACCCTAGGCAGCTTTGTTTGCCTGAAAAATTGTATTTTGTTTAATAAAAGATAATACATTTATTTTTATATCGCTTACGTTTTGATTCAAAACAACCTAATTATATTAGTATTTGGCCTATCTATACCTAACCAACGACTTACATTTGAGTAGATGGACTTGACATTTGAAACGCTTTATTTTATTCACAAAGATTTTCAGTTTGTAAAATAAACTAAAATTTATTTTAATGATTTAATTTGTGTTTAATTTTAATAAATAATATAAAGTAAGAACACTTTTAGGGAGGATGGATTACGATTAAATTGTATCAGAATTCCAACTCACTTGTCTGCCATTTTAGTTAAGGGGTAAAAGGAAGTTGTATTATGATGAATTGGAGGTTTTAAAAAGCTAGAACTTTTTTTAAAAAATGTTAAAAACACGAAACAAACTATGTATTTGTTGTACAAACAGATATTTTGACTTTTTTCTTTTTTTTAAATACATTCATATGACTTTTCTGAAGGCAAAGGAATGAAAAGAAAAATGATTTTTTTTTTAAAATTATAAATTATATCCCTGATAAAATTTATATAAAGAGACAAAAGTAGGTTAATTAATTTTTTTTTTTTTATGTTGATAAAAAAAAATCATTAAAAAAAATGACAGTAACTTCAACCAGAGAAAGTAATATTTATTATTAATGTTATTTTTAGGGGATGTCCATTAATTACATCAACAATTTTTATACAATTTTTTACCCCCCCCCCCCCCCCAAT